TAATAAAACTTTTTTTTTTTTTTTTGCTTTTTGGGTCACACCCGGTGATGTACAGGGGTTACTCTTGGCTCTGCACTCAGGAGTTACTCCTGGCGGTACTCAGGGGACCATATGGGATGCTGGGAATCGAACCTGGGTCGGCTGCGTGCAAGGCAAACGCCCTACCCACTGTGCTATAGCTCCAGCCCAAAACTTCATATTTTTAAGGGGGAAACACAATACAGGGCTATTTCTGGGCTCTCGGCTCGTCCACCATGGTTCCGCCAAAAGCCTCCTCAAATGGGTATGTGCGGTCCCAGGAAGGCAGGGAGGGCAGGCAGTGGGGGTCCTTCCCAGGCTCGGGGGGCTAACCTGACGGACTCCGAGCTTGTCCTCAGAGAGGGAGGCTGGGCAAGGTGTCCTGGCTCAGAGCTGGGACGTGCTCCCGTGTGGGCCAGGCTGTGGGGGTTGCTGTCCAGGCCCGGGAGGACTGACCATGTGTCTGCTGAGAATCTCTGACCCTCAGCTTATTTCCCTCCAGCCCTGACCCAGCAACGGAGGCTCGGGGTGGGGGTGGTGGAATGGACACTTGCAGGAGGGGCTGACCCTGACTCAGGCCAGCTGTGGGGTTCCTGACCAGATCCTAAGCCCTCACCTGCCACATGGGTGTGGGCAGTTGAGTGGCCGCGAGACTGGGCTGTAAGTCCACCTGGGCTGCGGGGCCAGCCCCGACGATGGCCAGGCTGGAGGTGGGGATGAGCGGAACTCGTGTCCTTGGCCTGTGGCCACAGACCCACACCCACACCCACACGCACACACCTGCTGCCCTGCCTCAGGGCAAGGAGGGCTGCCGTTCCCACCCTGTCCGCATGCCGGAGGGTCAGCTGATGTGTGCTTGCCAGATGGCCAGGCCGGGGCCACATGACCTGGTGGATGCGCTGGTCAGCAGCCCACGGTGTTGGAAGCCTGGCGCGTCCTCGCCAGAGGGAATCCCCAGGGGGACCGTGTTACTAGGAGGCGATGTCCCCGGTGCCGTGGGAAGGGACGTGTCCTCCCAGGAAAACAAACCCCGGGGCCCCACTGGGCCCTGCTGGACCCTAGGGGGCCAGACAGCCACTTGCTGCTGAGTTGTGGAGGGACAACAAGGGCGTGAGGCTCAGTCTTCGTGAGGTTTGTCTTCACCAAGTGCCACTGGGACCCTTTTGCGGGGGACCGGCGGGAGGTGGGGTGCAATCAGGCATTGTGTTTCGGGGGAGGGCCACTTCCTGCAGGGGTGACCACTTGCCCCCCGCTTTGCACAGGTCTCCGTCCCCACTTTGGGGGACCTGATTCCCTGTCACCCCTTTCTCCGCCCAGAACCTACCTACCTTCCATCCATCCATCCATCCATCCATCCATCCATCCATCCATCCAGGGGTGCCCCCGGCCGGTAGCAGGAAGAAGGCGCTGGCACAGGAGCTCGGGGACAGACCTGGGCCCCGACACAAGAAACAGGGATTCGGGGTGCTTTTGTGTTCGGATGTTTATTTTTCAAACCCACTTGTCGTTTGGGTTCAGCTGGGAGGAAGCAGCGGCCAACTGAGGAGGGGGCGGCGAGCAGGGTCCACTGTAGCTTTGGGGGAAAGCCGGGCCCGGCCCTGTTCAGGGCGGGGGTCTGCTGCCAGCCCCCAGCTGGCCCCTGGGCAGGCAGGGGCCCCACCAGGGCTCCCAGAGGCTCTTCCCTGAGGACCACGGGCCAGTTTCCCCATCACCAGGGGTCCATGTTCCCTCCCCCCCACCCCTACCTCCCCACTCCCCCAACCCTTCAAGAAAATAAAATAAAAATTCGAATAAATACCGACTAGGCCCACATTTACATTGACATGACGGGTCAGGGCGACCCCCCACCCCCCCCAACCTGACAAGGTTTACAGACGGGTAAGGAAGGACCAGCGACTGGGGGTGGGGTGGGGTGGGGGCGCCTGGTCCCAGGGTAGCCACAAGTCTATTCGGGGCTGTGGTGGCCGCGCTCGGGTCCAGCCTACCTCCGAGCCGGGCTCTGTGAGCAGCAGGGAGGCTGCACCAGGCCTTGGCCGGCGGGAGGCCAGACAGAGCAAACACCGACTTAGCCTTCTCCATGCCAAGAACCGCGCCCGGCGAGTGGGCCGCAGGCCTGAGACGCAGACCCCGAGCCCACCTCCTGTCCGGCATGTACAGACATTATCAGCCTGGTTTGGTCTTCTTCGTCCAGCAGCGCTGGGGGTCCCGCGGAAGCCCCCCAGCTCTTATCCGAGTCCTCGCCCCGTCTCTGAGTGTCCGATTTTATTAGGCTTTAACTGTCCTGTAAAAAAAACCCCAAAACCTGCCCCCATGTTTTCTTTCCTGTCTGCAAAAGCGGTGGCCGTGGCCACCTGCGTGGAGGAAAACACCGTGAGCCAGGGAGCACGTCTGAGCAAGAGCCATCTAGGAGACCGGCCCTCAGCCCAGCCACGGACACCACGAGTAGTTAAAAATAGATTTATATGTGTTTACATATTTATATCTCCCTTGTCCCCACAAGGAATTGACCCTAACGGTCAGGAGGAGAGCTGCACGGGGCGGGGGTCGGGGGGGTCCGCCACCTCAGCCTTCACTTCCGGGGCGCACGGTGTTGGGGACCCCGCCTAGAGCGACCTCTCTGAGCCCACAGAGGGCTGCGGACCCGGCTTCTTGGTCTGGCTTCCTTGATCAGCAGAGGAGTTCAGGGCACACACACGCATACACAGACACCTGCATGCACACGCATGTAACACGCACGCACACAGGCATGCACACGCAGACATAAATATGCACACACATACACACACACACGTGCACACCACGGGAAGGTGGCAGAGCTGATTTTGGAGCAGGCACTAACCCTGGAGGGCAGCTGGGTTCCTGGAGATGGACGGTGATTTCCCCGGGGTCCTCTGCAACAGCCCAACACCGGCTGAGCTCAGCCCTTGGGCCTCCCCTGGGGCTGTCTGTGCTCGGGGCCCTGGGTAGAGGGGAGTGGGCCTTGCTCTTGGGGCGGGCCCTGGTCTTTGTCCCGACCACCTCGGGGCCCAGGCCTCACTCCTGACAGGCTCTCAGGGGACGTGGCTCCCATCCTGGGCCAGGAGGGTGACGGCAGCTGGCGGGCCAGCAGGGAAGACTGAGGCCCCCACTCTTCATCTTCAGACCCCAGGAGGTCCCAGGCGGCAAGCGGCCTCTGTCCAGGAGCAAGTAAGGCGGGTGCTGGGTTTGGGCCCAGGGCTCCATGCCCTGGAGACGGGCACTGCCCAAAGCCGAACCCTCGTTCAACCTCCTCGGCACACATCAGACAAGGGGTCACGTGGCCCCCAGCCCCGTCCCCAGCTGAGAGTCCCATGTGGCCACTGACCCTCCAGCTTGAGGGTCCCTTTCCCAAAAGGCCTAGCACGCAACCCAGGACACAGGGAGAGGGGCCGGGCATTCTCACCCTGCCGCCCAAACCCTGCCAGTCTCTCCCGGGCCTCCGCTCTGCACGAGCTCAGGACACTGTGTGTGTGCTTGTGAGTGTATGTGTGTGTGTATGTCTGTGTATAGGTATGTGTGTGAGAATCTGTGTGTGAGTGTGAATTTGTGTGTGTGAGTGTGAGTGTAGGGGTATGAGTGTCCGTGTGTAGGTATATGTGTGGGTATATGAGCGTGTGAGTATGTGCGTTTGTATGAATTTGTGTGTACATGTGTGAATGAGTGTATGTTTATATGAGTGTGTATGTGCGTGCATATATGTGAGTTAGTGTGTTTGTGTATATGTATGTGTGTGTGCGCGTGTATGTGTGTGTTTGTGTGAGTTTATGTGTGTGTATATGTTTATATATGTGTGTGCGAGTGTATGTGTGTGTTGTGTATGTGAGTTTATGTGTGTGTACAAGTATGTACGTGTCTGTGCGAGTGCATGTGTGTGTGTACATAAGTATGAGTACGTGTGTGTGAGTGTATGTGAGTGTGTGTTTTTATATGAGTGTGTATACGTGAGTATGTGTGTGCATCCGGGTGTGAGTTCATGTGAGTGTGTGTGAGTGTGTGAGTCTGTGTGCGTGTACACTCGGAGCGGGGAGCCGTCACTCGGGACTTTGGTGTTGCTCTGCCAGCCTGGTCCTGGGCCCTGTTCCTGGCCAGGCCCGGGGCCGGGTCGGGTTGCTTGAGACCGAGGAGGTGCTGGTGGCCAGGCCCAGGTAGCGTTCCAGTGCGGACTCCCGGGGGGACAGAGGTTCCCATGGCCCCAACTGGCTACTGGCGAGCTGTCTGTGGCTGGAGCCTTGCAGAGGGGCTGGGTTCCATGTCCCCCAAGTTCTCGTGCCACACACGGGGCCGTTTTCCCCGGCAGAGGAGACTTCGAAGCAGCCGGTTTGGACGAATCAAGCGGGAGGGAGCAAGTGGACCTGCAGACCCCTGCCTTGCGCCCGGGGCTTGGGGTGCTGCGGGGAGGAGGAGCTGGGACCCAGCCTGTGGCCTGGACCCCCGCCCTGCCCTGCCGCCCGCCGCCGCTGGCCTCCGGGGCCCTCTGGGGCGGACAAAGGCCGTCAATGACCGGTGGCTGGTGGGGACCGTGCTGCCTTTGTCCTCGGGACATCTGCTCCGTGTCGCCCACTGCCAGTTGGTGACTGCGGCCGCCGGCCCAGCCTGGGGAACAATGTGGCCCCGTCTCCGACCCACTTCTCGGCCCGCTGAGGGCTTCTGAGCCAGGCAGTGCCCCCCGCTGTCACAGAGATGAGACCCTCACACAAAGCCCCGCCGGGGGAGCGTCAGTGGGGGGAGGGGTAGAAGAGTGAGGCTGAGGGGGGCTGAGGGGGGCCCCCCGGGGCCACGGAGACAGACATGCAGCCCTGGTGAGCGCAGCATGCTCGGGTGGGGATGCAGAGAAGGTGGCCCCCGCCCCTCGGGACACAGTCCCTCCCCCTCTGGCTCTGCCGCCCGTCCTCCCTGTTCTTCTTTCTTCTGCCAGGGTCACCCCGGTCCTCCCGCCTGTCCATCTGGTCTACGCAGGCCACTGCCGCCACTGCCGCCGGGGCCCCTGGCTGTCAGGCTGTCAGTTTCTGGATGGTTCTGTTGTAGTACTGCGTGATGGGGGGCGTCAGGGGGTTCCAGCTGTTGGCGTGGAGCTCGATGACCTCCAGCAGCAGCGAGCGGGTCAGCATGGACTCCGAGGGGCACAGCATCTTGTCGCGGGCGCTGGCCAGGAGCTCGGCCATCATCTCGGGCAGCTGCTCCTCCAGCAGCCGGCCTGTGCTCTGCAGCTGCGGGCAGAGAGGAGCCGGTCAGGACACAGCGGGAGGCGCCCGGCGACCCCCACCCTCGGGGGGCTCGGGGCAGAGCCAGGAAGTAGTTGGGGGCTCTCGAGAGGGTCTCGCCTGGGACCCCGGGCCACGGGAGAGCTATGTGGGCACGGCCTAGGGTGTGGTTCCACAGGTCAGCATCGGCAGGGAGAGGCAACAGGATGCCGCGCCAGGCACCCAGGCCGCAAAGACCCCGCATCAGCACCTGCTCTGTTCTCCCTCTCACCCCCAGGGCTTTGCCTCCTACGGGAAGCCTTCCCTGACCAGCACTCCCCCCCAAAAAGGGCTCTGATCTGGCCCTAGAGGTGACCTCTGACTCCTGATGGGACACCAGGGGGAGGAAAGAGACACGAACCGGGGCTGCAGGCCAGCTGGAGGGCCTGCGTGCGGGTGTGTGCTCGAGAGAGGAAGAAGGCTCCCTGACCTCTGGATCAGTGCCCGGCACCCTTGATGTGGTCCTCTGTAGGGCTTCACCGAGGGCTGGGGAGACGGCTCAAACTGTTGAGTGCGTTATGTATGCGAGGGACCCAGGTGCGGGCCCTGCCGCTGAGTCACAGCACGCAGCCAGGATCAGCCGCTGAGCACGGCTGGGTGTGGTGTCAGGAACAAGAGGGGCCTCAGTGCTTAGAGCAGTGCCCGCCCCCTCCCTGACCGCATCCCCACTCGAGGCTCTGTTTTCCCTGCCTGATCTTCCTGGACCCGGTCACCCCCACTGCCCAGTCCTCAGCGCTGAATGCACAGATATGTCAGTGGACACCACCCTGGGCAGTGTACATGTGTGTGGGTATGTGTGTGTATGTGTGTGCGCACGTGTGGGCATATGTCTGTGGGTTTGTGTGTGTACACTCGGGCGTGTGTCCATGCATGTGGGGGCCATGCACACGTGTGTGAATGTCTGGACATGCATGTATGTATGGAGATGTATGCATGTGCGTGCATACGTGTGTATGGATGTGTGTGTGTGTGGCTACCATCTGCACATGTGTGAATGTGTGCTGGTGTTTATGTGTCTGCATGTGTGTGCATGTGTGTGTGGGTACATGTGTGTTGGGTGCACCTGGGTGTGAGTGTACTGTCAGCATGTGGGTGTGTGCACGTGTGTGGGACTACATATATGCACATGGGTGTGTGCGGTGCAGTATGTGCAAACATGCAGATGCACGCACGTGTACGTGTGTATGTGTGCATGTGTGGGTGAAGGCTTGTCAGCGTATGCATACACGTGTGTGTTGCATGCACATGTGTGTGAAGGTGAAGCATGCAGGTGTGGGAATGCGTGTTTGGGGACATACATGTATGCATGTGTATGCCGTGTGTACATGCGTGTATGCCGGTGTGGCCGAGCTCTTCCTCACTGCACTGAAATTGAGCTGAGGACACAGGTTTTCTCCTCGTACCCCGGCTTCTCCAGCATTAGAGTGCCCAGTTAATGGACACAGCAGGACTGTCCCATGGTCTCTCGGCTGCAGCCTGGCATCCTGGAGGCGGGACCCGGGCGTGCTGAGAGTCCCTGGCGTGGTCTAGTACACACACGCCACAAGGAACTCCTGTCATCCCCTGCTGTCCCCGAGGGCAGAGGCAGGAAGAGCCCAGAGGGAGAGTTTCTGGGAGCAGGGTCACATCTTGGGCATAGGAATGCCCACCCCCACCCGCCCGGGGCCAACATGGGGGCTTTCCTCCAAAGCCCAGGAGGGGACTTGGGGCCAGGGGTCACCTGGGATCTCTCTTGCTATGGTGTCAGGGGGGATCTCTGAGCCTGCAGGCAAGGCGGGCTGCGCTCCCTCGCTGAGTCACTTCCCCCGGCCCAGCTGGCACCTGTGACATCATCGTCTGGGGTGGCTGGCACCAGGGAAGCTGATCTTGGGGGCAGAGGGGGAGGGCAGCGCTGAGTGCCTCCCGCCTCCCGCGACCCCCCGCGACTCCGCCCCCACCTACCTCCATGGAGCAGCACAGAACGGCGTCCTCCTTCACGTCCTGAGACTGCAGGAGCTGTGGAGAGAGGCCCAGGTGCGCTCAGGGGTGGCGCCGACCCCCATAGCCTGACTCCCCTGAGAGCGAGCGGTGGGCATCTGCGCCCAGACCTGGCTGCCTCCCGCTGGCCGAGAAGGTTGTGGCTGCAGGAGGTGGGAGGGATCCCGGGCCCAGGGGCTTCCTGGGCTGGTGTGCGGACTGTGTGTGACGAAGACTCGGGCTTAAACAGCATCCCTGGGGCACACAGCAGGGACAGATTCCCGAGCAAAGCCAGGGGCAGACCGTAAGCACTGAGGCCCAAATACAAAGTGAGGAGAGAGAGGGGGGAGAGAGAAAGAGAGAGAGAGAGAGAGAGAGAGAGAGAGAGAGAGAGAGAGAGAAAGAGAGAGAGAGAGAAAGAGAGGAGAAAAGAGAAAGAGAAGGGGGAGAGAGGAGAAGAGAGAGAGAGAGAGAAGAGAGACAATGAAGAGAGACCGAGAGGCAGAGAGAGACAGAGAGAGGAAAAAAGAGAAAGAGAAGTGATGGGGCTGGAGCAATAGCACAGTGGGTAGGTGTTTGCCTTGCATGCGGCCAACCCGGGTTCCATTATCAGCATCCCATATGGTCCCCTGAGCACTGCCAGGAGTAATTCCTGAGTGCAGAGCCAGGAGTAACCTCTGTGCATCGCTGTGTGTGACCCAAAAAGAAAAAAAAAGAGAGAGAGAAAGAGAAGAGAGGAGGAGAGAAAAGAGGGTAAAAGAGAGAGACAGAGGAGAAAAGAGAAAGAAAGAGAAGAGAGAGGGAGAGACAGGAAGAGAAAAGAAAGAGAGAAAAGAGGGAAATGAGAGAAAGGGAAGAGAGAGAGACAGACAGACAGAGAGAGACAAAGAGAGGAGAAAAGAGAAAGAAAAAGAGAGAGAAGAGAGACACATGAAGAGAGACAGGGACAGAGAGAGGCAGAGAGAGACAGAGAGGAGAAAAGAGAAAGAGAAGAGAGAGAGGAGGATAAAAGAGGGTAAAAAAGAGAGAGAAGAGAGAGACAGTGACAGAGAGAGACAGAGAGAGACAGAGGAGAAAAGAAAAAGAGAAGAGAGAGGGAGAGAGGAGGGGAAGAGAGAAAAGAGAAGAGAGAGACAGAGGAGAAAAGACAAAGAAAGAGGAGAAAGGAGAAAGAGGGAGAAGAGGGAGAGAGAGAGAGAGAGAGAGAGGTCACCAGAGGGTGGTGAAACGACCCCATTTGAGCCTTTCTGAAGTCCTGACTGAAACAACCGTTGAGCAGAGGCTCCTGGTCTCGGACACTTCCGGTCCTGCCCTAGACCTTCAGACACCAAACCTGCTTCGCCCCCAGCTGGGCCCCCACTGTGACTCACAGAGACGGGAAGGCCTTTCTTCTCTCTCTGTCTCTCTCTTGGGCCAAACCTGGGCAGTGCTCAGGGCTCTGTGCTCCAGAATCACTCCTGGTGGGGCTTGGGGAACCACGTGGGATGCCAGGGATTGAACCCGGTTGGCCACGTGCAAGGCAGGTGCCCAGTTCGCCGTGCTGTCTCTCTGTCCCTGGGAGGGCTTTCTGGCCACGGCCACAGCCAGACTCTGGGCCTCCAGGACAGCCACGCCCCAGTGTGCTTCTGACCCCATCTCCCTCACTCCACCTTTCTCTCAGAACTGAGACCTGGGGCTGGAGCGATAGCACAGCAGGTAGGGCATTTGCCTTGCACGCAGCTGACCCGGGTTTGATTCCCAGCACCCCATATGGTCCCCTGAGCACCGCCAGGAGTAATTCTTTCTTGAGTGCAGAATGAGCAGTAATCCCTGTGAATCACCGGGTATGACCCAAAACAACAACAACAAGAACAAAAACAAACAAACAAACAAACAAAAAAACACCCCTGAGAACTTCTAGAGCCTCACGTTCAACATTCTTTCTGGGCCAGACACTGCGGTGCTCAGGACTATTCCTGCCTCTGTGCTCGGAAGTGACCCTGGTGACACTCAGGATTAGAACTAGGCTTGGAGGGGATGCAAGTGGGAGAGAGCTTAAGCCCTCAGCTATCTCTCCAACCCCGAGTACTGTGTAAGTACTGAAGTCAGTGGCTTTTATATATTCAGAGGCCTACACCCTTCGAGGCCCAGAACTTCAGAATAACTCCGCCGGTGCCGATGAGACCCACGGCCAACTTTGTGAATTGGGCATATGGGTACGCACACTGAAAGCAGAGCCGGTGCCCACACTGGGCACAGAACCCACCACACATGTGGGTCACTTGTGTCCTGTGGTGGGGAGGGAGCCCTGCTCTGAGCTCCCCTCAGGGCCTCAGAGCTGCTCTGTGCCATTGCTCTGTGCCATCCGAGGTGGTCTCTGGGGTGGAGGGGCACTGCCCCCAGCATGGCTCCCAGAACTCTCTGGGCCCAACATCCCTGCTCCCGGGTCTGTCACTGAGGGATGAGCTCGTGGGCGGGATGCTTCTCTGCAGAGGGGCTGAGAGGGTACCCCACTTCCTTCTTAGGGAGACCCTCCCTGGGAGCCTCCAGAGATGCAAAGGCAGTCAACCCACAGATGCTCCAGACCGAGTTCACAGTGCTACAAAAGGCAAGGGAGGAAGTGACAGCCTGTCCAGATGGAGTTATCGGGGAATGAAAGCAGTCTTCCCCACAGTGCAGGTCTCCCCACAAAACACAATCTCCTCCACAGAGTAGGTCTCCCCCACAGAATATGGTCTCCCCCTCAGAGCAGGTCTCCCCACAGAACATGGTCTCCCCCACAGAGCAGGTCTCCCCACAGAACACGGTCTCCCCCACAGAGCAGGTCTCCCCACAGAACACGGTCTCCCCCACAGAGCAGGTCTCCCCACAGAACACGGTCTCCCTCACAGAGCAGGTCTCCCCACAGAACACGGTCTCCCTCACAGAGCAGGTCTCCCCACAGAACATGGTCTCCCCCACAGAGCAGGTCTCCCCACAGAACACGGTCTCCCCCACAGAGCAGGTCTCCCCACAGAACACGGTCTCCCCCACAGAGCAGGTCTCCCCACAGAACACGGTCTCCCTCACAGAGCAGGTCTCCCCACAGAACACGGTCTCCCCCACAGAGCAGGTCTCCCCACAGAACACGGTCTCCCCCACAGAGCAGGTCTCCCCACAGAACACGGTCTCCCCCACAGAGCAGGTCTCTCCACAGAACACGGTCTCCTCCACAGAGTAGGTCTCCCCACAGAGTAGGTCTCCACAGAGAACATGGTCTCTCTACCACAGAGCAAGCCTCCCCCACAGAACACGGCCTCCCCACAGAGCATGGCCTCCCCCCACAGAGCAGGTCTCCCCACCAAAGAGTAGGGTCTCCCCACAGAGCATGTTCTTCCCCCCACAGAACACAGTCCCCCCACCCATACACAGAGCATGGTTTCCCCCACAGAACATGGTCTTCCTCCATGGAACATGGTCTCTTCCACAGAGCACAGTCTCCCCCCACGCCCAAGAGAAAAGGGTCTCCCCACAGCAGAACTCTCCTCAAAAGCTTTCAAAAGCAAGGCTGGGGTCTTAGGGTGGGGCTTTGCACGCAGGAGGTCCTGGAATTGCATGGTCCCCGAGCATGAACTGATTATAAAAAGGATGGATGTTCTGATACTGGCGACAACATGCAGGTGCCTTGAGATGGGGCCGTGTCAGGCCCGGCACCGTGGATGCGCACGGCAGCTCCATTCACCGGGGGAGTTGGGTCCTCAGAGGCAGAAAGGGGAAGGGGGCACTGAGGCTTGGGGGAGGGGATGGCAACACCTTGTGCCAAACCTTGTGGGTCAGGGGGGTGTCAATCGTGTGAGACAGCCAGCCATGCAATGATGGGGTCCACCACCTGCCACAGACCCGGGAGCCTGCAAATGCTTCCCCTGACCCAAAGGGCTGAGGGCAGGGCCGAGGGTGGATGCTCAACTCCGCAGGGTCTCCTGAGTGTAGCCTAGCTGCCCTTGGCCCTGTGGTGGACACCCACCCTCCCCACCAACGGCTAAAGTGACCCATTTGGGTGTGTGTGGGGGAGATGGTCATGCCTGGTGCTCAGGGCTCTGTGCTCAGGGCTCACTCCTGACCGGGCATTGGGAGACCGTGATATGGTACCAGGGACTGCACCAAGGTCAGCTACGCCAGGCAAGGGCCTAACCCTGGTCCCATCTCTCTGGGCCCAAGATGACCCATCTTAGGTTCCATCATCTCTGCCGCCGCTGCAAAACATGACCAGAAGCTGCGTTGGCAACGGGGCCCTGCTCGGCCCACGGGGCTGGGGAGGAAAGGTCGGGACAGAGCGGAGGGCTGCAGGGCGTGGGGTGGCGCCAGCCCCGCTGCTCCGAGTCTGGCACGGGGAGGGGTGTGGGCGGGCTGGGGCAGGCCGGCTCCCCGCGCCCTGCTCGCCGAAATGTGTTTCTTGGACGAGAATCCAAGGCGACTGGGAGCCCACGCGGTGTTTGTTCGGAAGCGCGTGCACTCCCGTCCCATTGTCTGTGCGAGACTTGCAGGCACACCCACCACATCCTCCCTCGGGGGGCGGAGGGGGGGGAGGCTGCTTGCTCGGGCTGGGGAGGGGGCCCAGGCCCTGCCCGGGGCATCCTGGGGTCCCGGGGCTGTGTGGGCGGGCGGCCCAAGGCATGCCCAGGATGGAACCCGGCTGGCTGCTTGGGATGCCACCGGTGGGGTGGGAACCAGGGGGCGGATGGCAGCTGGGCGGGGCTGCCTCATCCTGTGGGGACTCAGACTCGGTGGGCGGCAATGAGGGGGGCCACAAGAGAGTCTCCACAGCGTCTGTGATTGGCCACATGGCACAGCCGAGTGAGCCCTGATTGGCTGGCTGGAGGGGCAGGCAGGGAGAGGAGAGAGTGGGTGGGAGGGACAGGGTGGGGGTGTGGGGCTCAGGCCAGTGATGGGCACGTGGTGGCCAAGGAGGTTGGCAGTGACAAGAAAGGGAAAAGAACCATGCCGTGCCAGGGGGCGGGGAGCCACCAAGGGCCCCCTGTCATCTCAGGGAAGTTGGGCACCCCGGGGTCAGCATCGGAATC